GCTATTTCATAATATTACATAGAATCATTTTACTTCTAAGTCATTCAGTTATGTCAAACTCTTTACAAATAGGAGAGATAAAAGACCTCTTCATAATCCTTTTCATTTAGCACTCAGGTAAACTCATCTTGGACAAATACAGCCCTCAGATATATGGACATATTATCAAAATTAACATGAAGTGTACTGCYGAGTTACCTAATCCAAACGAAGAGAAGATGAGCGGCCATTGTGTTTTGTTAAAAGTGACAGGAAAGCAGAGTTGTAAGTGTTGTTATGCAGGCTTTCTCAGAGCATTTTGTATGCACACTCAATCTATTTCATAAGGTAGTATAGGGGCATGCGGAGAGCATGTTTTAGGGCTTTTGGAACTTCCTTCCTTGGCAGACAAAGTTTTTAAAGTCGAAAGCGTTATCCATTTTCAGAGAGTCCAACAGTTTGTGCCAGATGAATCCTTACCTTCATCCTTAAAACCGCGAAAAAAGTAGTCATCCTTAAAACCGCGAAAAGAGCAGTGGAACCTGCTCGATAAAACCCATGCACACGTTCATATATTTATGATTGTATAGATTCTATTATTTATGTTTATTTATAAGGTTCAGCTGTCCCATCAACTACTGCTCCTCCAGTAACTTCGACTTCTTCGACCACCACGATACAATCTCCATCTTCTTCAACCCCATCAACATCCTCTTTGACGAGTTCAACAACGACGCAACCACGCAATGTAGATACAACGACAACTAGCAATAATGAACAACACTCGACCGGCACTCAACTAACAACGACAACCAGCAGTGAACGAGCAACGACAGCAAGCAACAATGAAGGAACAACGACAACCAGAATAACTGCAAACGAAAAGCCTACAACAAATCCATCGTCACGCGAGTCTTCTACATCGCAAAACATAATGCATACTTCTTCGACGATTCGAGGCCTAACTGAAACTGTAGTGGAATCTACGACTTCTGAGTATGTAAGTGCAGCAAACTGAGGTGTTTGGCTACTACATATTTGTTTGATGCTAACAAAGTTAGGATCACCCAGCAACACTGGCAAAGTTTCTGCCATTTTTTAGAATCGTAGAAAGTACACTTTAATCGAAAACTATTTTCTGTAACTCTGTAATGTAATTCATTATTATCATTATCAAGTTTTTTTTATTCATTTTTTCTGCAGATAACAGACTCACCCAATAACATAGGAGGGGYAAATGACGATTCCGAGGACAACAGTGGTGTYGCATTCATTGGGGGTGTCGCCGGTGCAGCTGTTGTACTAGTAATTATTGTAGTTCTACTGATTGCTATATTTCTAGGAAGAGAAAACAGGTAATCAATTACATAGAAATAATCTAGAAATACATGTAAACAACAGGAACTCATTTTTTTTTTTTTTGAACCCCAGCGAAATTTTCGAAGGCCATTCCGGCGGTAAAACATGTTAGACACACAACATCAAACTTAAAAAAACTATTTCCAAACAATATCAGGACCTCCTCTATAAATAAAAATAAAAGTCTTTTATTTTGAGAGGGTAGCACGTAAWAGTCTCTAGACTAATAAACCTGTGKCCCTCTATATATCCACTCATACTCACTAYCTCATCATTCATTATTTTACAACACGACACTCCTCACAGCTAGTTTTTGACTGAGGGAGGAAAACCAGCGGACCTGGAGAAAAACCCTCGGAGCAAGGAAGAGAACCAGCCTACAAACTCAAATCACATATAGTCCCGGACCGGGAATCGAACCAGGACCACAGCGGTGATAGACCGGCGTTTTAACCGCTCGGCCATCCTTGCTCCCCTTAAAGGAGGTCCTGATATCTATGACATTTACAAACTAATTCCAAACTATTTATAAACAATATCAGGACCAACTATGACATTTACAAACTATTTCTAAACAATATCGGGACATCCTCTATGACATGTACAAACTAATTCCAAACTATTTCTTAACAATATCGGGACCCACTTTATGACATTTACAAAATATTTACGAACTAAAATTGTTTGTAAATCAATTTCGTACTATGGAAATAGTTTGGAACATTCATGCAATTTACATAGTATGCAAATTCATTTTTACAAATTATTTACCTACTATGGAACTCGTTTGATTTATCCAGTGAAAATTCCATTTGCTAAGATAGAGTACGTCTAATTAATCTACAGACATCCGCGAGTCAAACGAGAGTCCGTTACTCCGATAGCAGGTATAATAATTCATTGTCATTGCAGGGTCGTATTTGTAGGGAGATCGCCGGATACCTGTGACAGTTTTTATGCGGTGTCGTGAATCCCAGAATCTGTGCGATCATTTGCTTTGCTTCAAAAATGATATGCCGTTGATAGTTACTTTCTGTTTGGTTAAAAATTAAATATGGCGTTTTTTTTCTTATCTGAGAAAATCTTGGATGCATATGGGCCTTTAAGGTCTGTGATTATTTTGCATTTAAAATAATATATTATCATCTCATTGTGAGAATTTTGGAGATAAGCGAGACCCTTTAATGCGATTTATAAATTTTTTTATATATAACGCGCGCTCTGATTGGCTGACGACCRTGTTTATATCAGAGGACAGAGACACGGCTTACCGGCAAAATTTGCTTTTCGCTCGAAAAATTTTATAAAAGAAATATAAACGGCCGCTTGTGTCTCTGTCCTCTGATAAAAGCACGGTGGGAGTTGAAAAACACTCGAGAAGCAACAGAAACACTCGCTACGCTCGTAAGCTTGCTTCTGTCGTGTTTTTCGAACTCCCACCGTGTTTATATCAGAAGGCAGAGACACGCGCGCCGTTTTATATTTCTTAAATATCATGAATATACCCCTCCATTCCATGCATGTAAAATTAACATCGATTTTATATTAAATTGTACCCTGAAATTATCAACATGGGAAACTTTAAGATTTCTCTAATTCTATTTATAATTATCTGTTTCAGAAAATGCTTTTTACGAAACCACAATGCCAATCAATGGGCAACTAAGATCCGTACACAATGAACATCCRTTCGCTTTTTATAACAACCACCYCGTTGTCATCAAAGATCAAAGTTACGAAGGTAGGGCAACTTGCAGTTTATCGTTCTGAACAATCATTGGTATTAAATAATTACTTATAAATTCATTAAAACAAGATTCGCAAAAATAATTTTAACATAATGACATGGTTTGTACTTTAGAAATAACAGATTCAAGTATTGATAAGGYCCATAATGGAATCATCGAGGTTGRCTTGGGTTCTCCACCAAACCACGGACTTCTCGTTTACGGYACACGAGAAGATCCAAATTACGACCACCTCTACAATTCYCATGAAACTTTCAATGACCCCTCGAATTCGTACAGCACACTTGAACGACCTGGCAAMCAGCGGTTRGMACAAGTTTATGTTAATGTACTGGAAGACCCAAACTCTACTAGTGCCTCAGTATACCRTGTACCCAAAGAGCCTAGTTCGAACGAGCACCAAGTACATSRAAATCGAGACCCTCACTTATATGGWTCYCTTGACAGTGAAGACCCTCGTGTAAATGGCTTCCATTCTTCCACCTCTAAATCGGCTTCTGGGAGCGATATTTATGACATTGTCGGTAGCACTATTGAAGGTCGAGATACATTGAATTTCACAGAACTCAATCAAGCAGGCCAGCAGTCGTCTGATATATACCAGCCATTACGTTATCCAAGTGACACCCTTATGGCCATGAAGAACATCAAATGACTTAGTTCCAGGCCTAACTCATCCTGTTTTTAGCGAACCCCAGAAAAACGAAACAAAAAATGGCCTTTTTGCTGGAATGCAAAATATTAGATATTTATACGCTGTTGGGATTTTCCATTGTTACAAAACTGTGTTAGAGAATAAATGCATTTGTTTTAGTTAGCTCGTAAGAGCGCTTCTAAGCAGTTAACAGCATTTCAGACACGCTCACATAGCTTYATTACGTAGTTGCTGTACTTATCTAGTACGACGAAGCATCGAGCTTCATCGAGCATGAGCTTGGAATCTAAATATGATACACGATGATACACAAAACTTTCTTGTTTTAATTTTTTACTTACCTTTAGTTGAGTGAAAGCTCTACGTACTAATACTAAACCGTTAAACAGATATTTGTGTCAGTAATGCACCTTGTATTCTCTAGTCAATTACTTTGACTTTGTGCTAGTTAATCAAAATTTAATATGTTTTCACGGACATATGCAGTATTTAGCTTAATTTGTTATCTATATATTTTGTATTTCTATAGTTCAATAAAATTTCTTCTAATGGACTGAATGGAGTGGTGTTTTGCTAAATAATAGTATATAGAATCATTGCTTATTGCAATGTGAGTGGACGAGGGAGCAGGAATAGAAAGGAATTTTTATTTATTTTTTTCACTTTTAAAGGTGTACTCGCAAATTTTTTCTTTGAAAATTTTATAATTGAAGTATAAAACGAAAGTGCCATGTAAATTTTCTAAGATGTATTGACTTCTTCGTTGTCTTATGTCATGTTATTATCAGATGTATAGAGACTGGACWATTCGTGTGTAACATGTTAAGTAGTTTCAAGTGTTTTAAGACACGAGAATAAATCACTTGAATTGATTTGATCATTGCAAACGACTTAGTCGTGATCGTCACACATTTGMATGCAAATWMTTCTACTGAAACATTCCGTGTGTTGCGCGTACCGGATTCTATGAAGAGGTCTTCAGCTCTGGTGAGATGAGTTTCYTTGTATTTCATTGTATTCTAAGACATATAGCTTACTTGTTTTTATTGAATATTGAAAGCTACATAATTGATACTGTGTAGTACATACCCGCAAAACTCGAAAGAGCCGAACTAAGACAAGAAGCTACAGCATAGTGATTATTGTAAGTGTATCAAGATAATAGATTTCTTTGTGGAACGTTAGAATATTTCTCGATTTTAATGTATGATCATGGGCTATAATAACACGTAACCATGTAATTCCTCAACACTAACGGGTCTGGTACAAATAATGTTTTATTTAAGAAATATAAAACGACGCGCGTGTCTCTGTCCTCTGATATAAACACGGTGGGAGTTCGAGAAACACGACAGAAGCAAGCTTAGGAAAACGAGCGTAGCGAGTGTTTCTCTTGCTTCTCGAGTGTTTTTCAACTCCCACCGTGTTTATATCAGAGGGCAGAGACACAAGCGGCCGTTTTATATTTCTTTTATAAAATTTTTCGAGCAAATCGGTAAGCCGTGTCTCTGTCCTCTGATATAAACACGGTCGTCAGCCAATCAAAGCGCGGGTTATATATCAAAAATTGTATAAAAAGATGTATGTAGGGATGTTCAAATTCTTATCCAAATCAAATTCTTATCCAAGATTGCGCTTTTTTGCAGCACTCCTTTCTAGTGGAATCAAAAATAAGAACGTTCAAATTATGCCACACATTTTGCATAAAAGTTGGTATAATGATAAACTTAATTGAAAATTGTAGATTTACAGAATGCCTTCACCTTCGACAAATCTACTGACCTCTCCGCGGTCAGAGAAGAAGAACTACGACAACAAAGACTTTAACCACGAGGACGATRAAGAGATATTTGACGAACCAATGAAAATTGGTATCGCAGTTGGCGTGTTTGCTATAGCAGTAATAATAATTATYGTGATTGTGGTTTGGATTGAAATAAAAAAGAAAAGGTAAAATTAATAAACTTCAATGGTTGCTAAAAACTTACTGGAAATATAAATGTTTAATTTGTATTTTTGTGTCAATTTTAAAAACCTTTTTTTATTTATTTTTAATAGAAATCGAGTTCAAGAAAGTCATATCACGATAACGCCAGGTATAAAGATATCCAAAATTATAAAAGCATATTTTAAACTGTGACCTCATGAAGTAGACAATGTTTTTTCGRTGTATTTGTGAATYCATTATCCTCTCACTCCCTCCATGTCACAAGAACGTGAAGACCGGAGAAATGCATATGAAATATGCTTCAGTGAAGTGATAGCAATATAAACGAACAAATACATATGCCACGTGCAAACAACAAGGGCAGAAAGGAGAAGGGAAYATCAGCAAGCAAYGATTCCGTAACGACCAATATMATATAATGAATCCCTCTCAAAACTATGTTTGTGACATAGTGCGCAATTGTGAAAATTGCACTAAACTCTCACTAAATCATTTTCGTTTAAGATGAAGATTATTATGAGCAACCTGTTGATAACCATCTTAAGTATACTGGTCAGCAGCAGCCCGGACAGGAGTATGCGTATGCCGTCTCTGACGTACATTCGTCACTTACTCGAGAAGGTAATGTTTACGACCTTTTGCTTTCTCAACATTACGCAATTAGAAATATTTTTGTGTATTATTACTAAATTTTCTTCAGAGAAAGCCGAAGGCTCTAAGGRAAGTGATGCACTAAGCCACAAGAAAGATTTAGCTATTGAAAAGGGATATCTAAATCCAAAGAAAGAAAGTTC